GATCAGCACCAAGTAGATAACTACGAATGCCCAATACCCAGGAAACACAAATACACCAAATTCGTAGGAGTTTCTTAAGCCAAACGCGAGTGTGTGACTGTTCGAAGAATCCAGGGAGAACGATCTAGAAAAAAAAGAAATAAAGGTAATTAAATTAGGGTAAATTAAAATTTACAATTTAAATACAGGGGGAGATATAAAAACTGCAACCAATTTCAGACTGCTGTCATTTCTAAGCCAGTCGTTCTGATTTCTTTGTATTTGGCTGGAAAACCACAAGTGGCCATCGTTAGAGCACTCCAGCATTTAAATGTGAATAAATCTTTAGTGTCTCGTACCATCGCTGACCAATTCGAACAAATCTAAACTCATTCTAAAATTTTATGCTATTTCCGACATTTTTGCTTTCATTCAATAAAATTTAAAAAAATTTGTTTGACTTTGTTTTGTTGTTTTTTATCTCACCCTGTAGGTATATAAAACAATATTGATTAAAGATCTTCGTACTAATTTGTATAATAAACTGCAATCTAAGATGGATTCAAATATGTAATGGCTAAAAATTTACTATTTAAAAAAGATAACATTAAATATGTTCGACAGAACTCGTTGTATATAATATTAATCTACTGAACCTACCTGCAGTAAAAGCAACTGCAGACTCAATTCATTGACATCTGAATCGCCTGATAAGGTGTATGGTAAAAACGTTGGCCAAATTGTCTTTAGTACACGTATCGGTATCCACAGCATCAACAATACCACCGATCCAAATATCATGGCAGATGATATTAGACGTCGAACATGCTTTAGAATGGGTAAATGTATCATTTCCTGAAATTCAAAAAAAATTAGAAAATTTAATAAATATAAAAAAATAAAGAATTTAATAGTTACTAACTTGAATGGGACTAAAGTCAGGATCATTTAAATTCCTCAAAAACCACAATACCCCAGGACGAAGAACTTCTCGCAGTAATGAAATGAAGGCGGCAAAATAATACACAAACACCATACCAAACATCCAATGAACGAATAGAGATGTTCCAGGTGCAGCTGTGAAGCTAGTCTTGCGATCCTTTAACCTAAAATATAAATTTTATTTAATATTTAATTTCATTTCAAAATATTCCGTACTTACGTAGCATCGAATAGAGGCAATGAACATATATCCAACCACCATCCACATACCAATGGTAAAACACCAATCTCCACCACGGAAAGCAGTGACACCTTTACCACAATATAACACAAACCAATAAGACTGCGTACTCTTCGCATATGGAATGCCCTTGCCAGACAATGTAAAACGACCAATATAATGCCAATGAAACAATAGCCAAATAAAGTTGTTATTAAACCATGGAAATGTAATAGTGGCTTCTCCGGGTCCATGAGATCTAGTGAACTTAATATAAAGTGGCCAATACAATATGGACAAAAAGCAAAGGCAAATATTAGCATTGTATTGAGGGAGACAATCCAAAACACATGTTCCAAGAACACCAAGGATCCATCCAAACCCAATAAACGTTCCCAAGTCAATTCCTCCGCTGCCCGATCCCATTCCATTGGATTCCAATTGGGTTCATCATTGTCGTTTTCGGCGGGGTTAGCAGCATTATTGTTGTTATTACGATTTGCAGCCAGAGCAGGAGGCAGCTGGGGACCAAATTCCAAAGGAGGGTCGCCCTCGTTTTCAACTGGATCAGCAACCGCAGGAGCATTATTGTTCATAGGCTCTACTACAGGTGGCGCCTCAGCATTATTTACCCTCCCATCTGCGATGTCATTGTTGTTATTAGCAACATCTCCCTCCGCTGCCGCTTCCGCTGGGACAGCTGGAGCCCCATTGCCTTCTATTTGAGCATTTGCCACATTGTCCTGTCCCTCATCTCCTGCATTAGCATTAGCTCCACCTCCATCCGGCGGAAGATTCAGTTCTACCTCATCGTCAGCATCATTGTTTGCCCCTGCTCCAGGAGCATCATCCCTTTCCAACCAATCCGGTCCACCTCCCAGCAATATCTGCTCTCGCAACCACACCAATCCAATAAACGATAACAGTGTGCACGTCACTACAAAGCAGCCTCGAAATACATCTGAAGCAAGATTTTCCGTTGAAAAAATATCGAAAGGCAAGGACAATATCATATCAAATGACGATGCTCGGAACAAATAGCGATATGTCCGATATGCAGACAACGGCACTACCACAAACCAAGCCAAACCCACAAGGGAGTAGTGGGCCCAAGATTTTGCCGCTTTCATTATGGCCGACAACAAACCTCCAGCAACATCCCGCAACGGTAAGACCCGTGGCATATCAGGCGAGTAGATGGGTTGGAAGCTAAATCGATGGCCACATAGCTCACAGTATTCCTTATGTGAATAGCGCATCCACTGCATCAGGCAATCCTGGTGTATGTATTTTATACTGCCCGTGCAAACACATGGGTAGAACAGAGGACGATCCGACGAGGCTTCACAACGACAAACGCGACAAATGTCGCCTTGAGATAAATCGTCCATTGTGTATTTGTAATGAAGCAGATGTCTATAATCTGTTCTCTACAACATTGGTAGCAACATGGATATGGTTTATCCAAAAAGCTATCAACGAATTCACAGCAATTTTTTACGCGTTTTTCCTCCAAAAAAAAATAAAACTTTTTCTCGAAAAATGTACTTCGACTTTACCACAGAGCAAGCAATTAAACAATTGCAACACGTCAATTTCGCTCGATAGCAGCTGTTTTGATTCTCAGTTATTGGTTTTGTTTTTTTTTCTTTCACGAACTGTCACCTGCGTCAAACGCTCAAAACAAACAATTCATTGCAGTTCATTCACATTCTAATTGAACGACGTCATTATTAGAATTTAGTATTTTGTTTAAAGGAATTTATTAATGCATATTTACTGCTGTATTATCTATTTATTTACTGGATTCTTTAAATTTGCGTAATTTATTTGACATATGCATTTTGCTGCAAAGAGTGATATAAGGAAATAATGTAGATGGCGCTAATTCACATATAATCAATGTTGCCATCTAGCAGGTTGTTCCATCGACATAGTTGCTGGCGCAATGAACTGTCAAACCTTTTTTGGAAGTTAAAATGTTTAATGAAAAATTATTGAAATTTGTAAAAACAGTTTAAAATGCATTTCATAACAACCCCAGTTTGCTTTGTATAATAAAACATAGCATAATAAAAATCTATTATTTTTTGACAAAATATTTAAAAAATTTTGACATATCAATGTTCCCAAGCGTGGATGCATCTACCTATGTTCTTCTACCATGGGTAGAATTAAGAAGATGAAGTCATGCAATCATATGTTTACATTTTTTTTCATTATTCTTTTAACATCTCATTTAAATTAATTACTTTTCTCGAAAAATGACTTTGACTTTACAAGAGCATACAATTAAACAATTGTAATTGTTGCTGGACAATTCCTGCAGGAGAAGTAACGAGTCACACCTAGTCCCAGCAAAGTTTAATGGAAGTGGTTCCATGTGATGGAATGATTTTACTGGCTCAAGAAGCTAAAGCTATGGTATAATACGGAGGTATAACATATTTGGAACAACTACCAAAAAAAAACTATACAGAAATGGGCGCATACTGTCAAAAATATTTATGGTGACATACGTCGACTTTTGTAAATAAATTTATTCAGTTGTCCTGATAATCTATGTTGCTTTAATTCAGATGGTAACTGATGGCGAATGTCTGTGTCTGCAACTTTTTGTAAATTGTAATCATTTAATATTGAAAGGAGATTAGAATCTTGGTTACCGTGGTTCTTCACGAAGTTGTCTATTGTTATAAGCTGCAATATATAATCCGTATAAAGCAACATGCCAACAAAATGAGATCACATTGGAAGTCGTGCCTTTCCGAGTAGTGCATCATGTTTGGAACCTGTTCAAATGCACAAAAATGTACTCCATTTATGAAATTTAAAAAGCATACAGACGCCCGAGAAAGCTATTTAAAAGCTATTAAAAGAAAAAAACTTAATTACGCTTATAAGTCAGTCACCATCGAAAAAAATTAGCTCTATTCCAAATCCTTCAATAATCTACTATTTTTGCAATCGGTTATATGTCCGTCCGCACGTCGGTCTGTCCACATATTTTTGCATGGTATAATTATTGCAGGTAACAGCAAGTCCCAGCTGATTTGACTCTATAGTTATACTGGTGTCAAATTCGATATGACGTTTTGTGATTTAATTCCATTTCTTGATATACAATAGGTATACACTTTTTTATATAAAATTTCACTGTAGGGCATAGTTTTGCCTAAAATGTATATTTTTGAAATTCAAATAATTTATTGAAAATTAATTATTTTGTTTACATTTTTGGACACACAACTCTGACACTTGTATTACGTACAAAAACAAATTTGTATGTGGTTGTTGTTACGATTGTTGCACAACAACACTTGCTTTCACCTGTATTATTCTACCAAGATGCAAAAAGTTGTTTTAAATTATTTGATATTTTTCCTTATTTTTAAAATGGAGATTTATAAGATTTTTCTTTCAGAAATATAATCCAAACTATTCAATATTTCAATTCCATATCAAAACTGGTTAATATTTTTAATACGCGTCAATCAGTTGGTAGCTCTTCTTACCTTTTCACTGTATTTTATTTCATTATGGAAGAGGTTCCAGAAGGTGTGAGCCGATATCAACCATCTACGAACACAATTAATATAATAACTTTTCTTTGTAGGTATCAGCTAGTATTATTTGTAGATCGTAAGGTGAGGGTACATATGCAGCTTGAACTCTTCGCATGACATATTTTGTGGTATATCATAAAGAAATGTCAGAGCCGCGCTCGAATCCTGCCGTCGTTCCCCCTTATAATTTGGCATTAATATGCCAACCTGCTTATGTACCCTCAACTTTATAATAGGGCCATGGTACCATGTTTTCCTGAAGGATCAGGAACCGACCGTTTGGATTTATTACATTTCTGGAAATTAACCGTAAATTGTCCGGTGTGAACACCCGCAATGAAATGACTTCATACGCTCAGCTGTTTCGAAGTGGTGTACGTTCAGTGATTGGCAAAAAGAACAATAATTATCTCTAGCATTAATATTTACAAAATCTTGATAAAGAAGGTACGTTTTATAAGGCCTATTTTTATTTAATTATATCATTTTATTATACTCAAATTTTAATTGTTTTCTTCCTCACATTATATTTTAGATACAAATAAATTCAAAAATGTTGCGCAGCATTGTACAAAAAGCCGGACAATCATTGACCACAACACGTTTGGCCACTAGACATTTCGGCAGCACCACCGTCAAAAATGAGATTTTCAAAGTTCAAAGCATTGAAGATTTCGAAAACAAAGTCAAGAAGAGTGATAAGGTTGTAATTGTCGATTTCTTTGCAACGTAAGTGTACAATGTGGTAGATGCCCCCGCAGCATCTTATAGAGTTATATAAGTTTCGGAACAACTCTAGTTTAGTAAAAAAATTTCGATCACTTCTTGGATAAGCTTTCAAACAATAGCTATTTTGCTTATATATCGGGTAGGTGGATCCGGTTTGAAAATATGGGGTCCCGGTCCCCCAAGAAAAAAGTTTCCCAGAATCAGGGTAAAATACCTACCACTGGAAAATTTTTCAAAGAAGAGTTGATGAGTTTTTACTAAACTAGAGTTAAGTTTAAGTTTCCTACGTTTTAATCGAATTTCGTTTACTTGATTGCAGATGGTGTAATCCATGCAAAATGTTGACACCACGCATAGAATCCATTGTTGGTGAAAAGGCTGGTGCTGTTAAATTGGCAAAAGTTGATATCGATGAACACAGCGAGTTGGCTTTGGATTACGATGTTGCAGCCGTGCCCGTATTGATGGCTATGAAAGGTGGTAAAGTAGTTAACCGCATGGTTGGTTTACAAGACACTGATAAATTGCGGGCCTGGATAGAGAAAACCGTTGAAGAAAATAAGTAAACAAATTTTATGGAGCAGCAGCAACGTGATCGCCACACGTTAAAAAACAAAACAGTAGCTCTTAACTTTGGAGTATAAAAATTTTAAAATAATATGTTTAGCTTTTAAAATCATCTTTAACCGTAAATGAAATCCTCTGTATAATGTCGACCAAAAATGCTTATTAAATTGTTGATCTGTTGGAAAAGATATGATAATTTTTGTTTTTATAAAACGTAAGAATTATTAAAATCAAATTAATAATCCTCTTTATACGTTTTTGAAGCAATCACAGACATTGTGAGTATCTTTCTCTGTTCCAGGACCTAGAATTATGTAAAAATGTCACCATAATAACCGACTTCTCCTTTATGATATCGAAAATAATGGTAGGATCATTAGATTCTTGCAGTTTCTGCAATGGAGCAATAAATTCCTCTCTCTCAAAATAAAACTGCATAATTTCATTGTTTTTATAAAAACATTTATTCTAAACATAAACATAGCTACATATTTACAATTCTACATAGGCCAATAATCTATCTACATATTCCACACGTCTTTGAAGCAATTCCATCTGTTCGTCGGACAGCTTCAGTGTTGCACTCTGTTCTTTTAGCATAAAATGTTGCAGGAAAAGTCTTAAGCTCTGCTTGAATTGTCGTAATTTATTATTTTTGGCCAATCTCTCGAATGCTTGATAAATATCCTGTTCTTCGGCGGCTAGCAATAAGCCCTTACAGATCTCCTTCATTAAGGCAAAGCTTTGTTTGTCAATTTGCAGGAAATCAATAATTTTCAATACCGCCAACTGCAAACCGTTGTTCAGGATCAGGTGTTGCAAGAAACGTGCCAAATTTCTAACCTGTATTTTATTTAACGAATCGATTTCGTTAATGCGATCCCAGGAGGCAAACTGGAATGCCAATTGGTATTTACGATTGTAATGACAGAACTTGAGAGCTAAATGAGCATAATATGGATTGGCCGCCTTCTCGTTCAGACAACAATGTATGATCACATAGGCTATGGAACGTAAATCTTTTACTGCCAAATGTAAAATCTTTTCAAAGGCATCAATGAAGTCATCGGCACTCATGATTATGCAGAATATATTTCGTCGCTCTTCGGTATTCATTTTCTGCTGTTTGGCTAATTTGAGTAGTTGTTCGGAAAATCTCTCAGATTTGCTACTATCACCTCCCTTTTCTTGTTTCTTTTGTGCTGCAGCCATTTCATTTATATTTCCCGTCCAGGCTGAACCAACAACCCACCATTTTCCCACAGTGTCGGCTCTTAACAGATCCTCCATGGTAATATTTAGAGTTATGACATATTTATCGTTTCTCAGCATTGCCTTCAGTTTCTTCCTTAGATTTTCATGTAGCTCAGGATCAAACCTGGGTATTTTATTGATGTTATTATTTTTGACTGCATTCAAAATGTCTACCATAAATTTAAGTCTCAGATTCTCTTTTAGCTCCAGTGGAGAAGCAGCAATTTTCGACTGAACACTTAACATCATTTGCTTAAAAGCCAAGGGATCATCTTTTCTTAGTTTGAAACCAACCGACTGGAATATAAGCAACAGACATTCTATGGTCTTTTCATTCAGCTGACCGGACAATCGATCTATTATCTCCAAAAGCAAACGATGTTCAAATATTTTAAAGACATACATGTAACTCAATAGAAGTACGACATTGTTGAGACGTTTATCTTCTTGCTGTACATTATCAATGTCCTTTAGAATGGCATCGAATTGTTCGATGAACATTTGCAAGAAATGTGCACCTATTTCACTGCCAATATGAGCATGTAAATAGGCAAGCAGGACCATATGCTCTTGCACCATCCGCTCATTGCTCATAACTTTGCTAACGAGAGCTTCCTGCAGTAACTTGTTAAGGGTTTCGTTCATATTAAAGCGGGAATTTTTCATATACAACTCTTCAATTCCCGAAGAAATCTTGTGCAGATTTGCCTCTGACAAACGATTTAGCAGACCTTTGCATTGCTTCCTCAGACGTTCTAGAATTTGGGCTTGTTTGTCATCGTTCTTAGCCGCTAAAAGAGCTCTCTGATGTGGGGGTATATATTTCTGGGGGCCATCATTGGCGGGTTCTGTGATAATATTACCATCTTTGTCACGTTTGCGGCCGTAGATGTCTTCCTTATCTGAAAGAGGTAATGTAACATGTTAAAGTCTTAATCATTCATAAATAAATTTGCTGTAGAATTTTATTAGATACTTACACTGCTCTTCCTTGTCTTCCTCATCACCGTCTTCTTGTTCCACATCACTGCCATTGTCGTCTACATCATCCTCGTCAAATTCTTCATCTCCTTCGTCTTCATCTTCCCCATCAAGATCATCATTATCCTCCACGTCGCTTCCATCAATGGAGCCTTGGCCATCATCTGAATCGCCTGATTCACCTCCACTACCAAAGATGGCATTAAAACGTTCCTCATCTTGTTCTTCATCACTCCATGATGGTTCCTTGTTTTGTTTTTTTAACTCCTCTTTTCGTTTTTCCTTCAGCAGTTTCTTTTCCTCCTCCTCATCGTCATCAAGACACAACTCCAAAGCAAAGTCCAATCCGTCATTGAACATTTTTCTAACCAAACGATTTTTGTTTTTGGTTTTATTGAGGCCAAGTTTTTTCTCCAACTTTGCAATGATTTTATCTTCTTCCTCATTTTCAATTTTCAGTTGTTTTATGCGTTGCTTACGCGAAGCAGACTCTAACTCCTTTTGCCGCTGCAATTCGCGACGATGTTGGTCTTCAATATTGGGTCGATTAGACGTCTGTGGCTTAGCCTTCTTAATGGGTGGTTTGTTAGGCTCATCTTCTGCCTCTCGTTTAACTTTCAAAGAATTGGGTAATAATGCATCTACTTCTTCATCCGAAAAATCCGAGTCTAGAGACTCATCATTGTCGGAATCAACATGACCCGACAATAGCTGTTCCAGTGGTATATCCTCAGGATTAACCGTGGGCTTGGATTTCTTAGTTTTCTTTTTCTTATTACCGGCGGCCTTATTATTTAATTGTTTCTGCTGTTTAGCCTCGGCAACCAGTTTTTTGCCATCCGTTTTGCTCGAAAAGAAAATACGTTTGTTTTCCTTCTTTTCCGCGGATTTTTGTTTACGAATTTCTTTTCGGCTCAATTTCACTGGACGTTTTTCCTTCGATTTTGGCTTCTTCAGTTTTACCATGTTGTTTTTTATATAAAATTGGGGTTTTAATAGATTTGCTTTACGCCTAAATCATCTAAATCCAAACAAATTAAATTTCCAAAAGACAACAACATCAGCTGTTCACTACACGTGCACACAGAGTTACATATTTGTGTATGCCAACCGGTGAGTACTTTTTTTCCATTGCCGAAAACAAATCAGCTGTTTTGGTTTGTTTTCTCTTCTTTCATTTGTCAACAATGTGCAATAGACTGAAACTAGTTCAGAAGGTTTCATTCATTGAATAGTTCCTTTGAATTCTTTATCCGGAACAACGTAGAGTTGAGCAATTAATTAAAAATTGATTTAAAGATAAATTAAACCCCAATAAAATGTCAACTCGTTGGTATCCCCTGTATCAACGCGGCAATCCCCAGCTGCGAGTTTTCTTGCCCAATTTCTGGATGAAGCTCATCAGGCCCAGTGAACCCCAGCCCAAAAACATTGTTACGTTTTCCGTATCCATGGAAATGACCAAGCATGATGTGAAAAACTATTTGGAAAAGATTTACAAAGTCCCCGTAATGGATGTGCGTACCCGCATTGCTTTGGGCGCGACCAAGAGAGATGTCACCTATGGATATGTGACCAAACATGATGATATGAAAATAGCTTATGTAACATTGGTAAGATATCTAGTGGATGTATTCTTATTTCCTCCAGCTCCATACATTTTCCTGCATGCCCTTCTTTTCAGCCCAAAGAAATGGAATTTACATTCCCCGAAATGTTTACCAAGAAGGATGATGCCAAAAAGGCGGATGAGAAGGCCATGGAAGATACAAAACAAGGTTTCAAACAGTTCTTAGAACGCAACAAGAAACGTCCTGGAACACCAGGCTGGTATTCGATATAGTTACTTAGTTTAATATACGAATAAAACTAGTCTAAGTGAATTGTTTTGTTTAGAAATGAGGTTTTTGCAAATTAATGATAACGAACAATGGGATTTAATGTCCCAAGATGGTGGGTATCTTGTTGGAACCGAATAACGAGATGGAAAAGACAAAAAAACGACACAGCCCACAGTGCACTCTGATTTAATCTGATTTAAAATCATCAAAATACCGAATATCAGGAAAAACCATTATATAGGGGATGTATAACATCGTGGACCTATATAAATAATGTAATGTACAAGGAACTCCTTTTGTGGATTTCAAGACAATTTCATTGAATAATTTGGCTAAAATCATCAAAATACCGAATATCGGGCGGTACCGTTATATGGGAGATATACGATATCATACACCGATTTAACCCATCTTCGAATTTGACTTGCCTGCAGACAAAAGACAGATCTGTGCAAAATTTTAGCTTCCTATTTTAATTCGTTTTGACTCTAGCGTGATTACGTTGATCAAGAATATATACACTTTGTTGGGTCTAAAATTATTATTTCAATGAGTTACAAACGGAATGACAAACTTGATATACCCTCCATACGATGTATGGTGGAGGTTATAAAAAGGCTACGATCCACATTTTAAAGAATGATCGTATCGTTCAAATATAAGTGGATGGCTCATTTTGAATATATATGGCTGTTCTATTGTATTAATATGAAATATGATTGGAATATTGTATCAGATGGAATACATATAAAGTGATCTTATCCAAATTTGGTGGTCTATGCGCGTTGCAAAATTAATATTGGTCCATCTGATATCAAACGTTTTTTTATCCGTCCATACAAAACTTGCAGCAAGATGCCCTCCAATTTGAAAATAAATCCTCTTATAATTTCTAATAACATTGTCGAATATTTTAAAATTTTTATTAACTTCAGGTATTTTTCCAAATTACAATCTAATTGCATCAGTCAAATATTTGTAGTAAATCTCGCGCTCTTTGATATTTTACAGAATTAACCAACTGTTGTCGTTGCTCTTCTGTTTCCTTTGCTTCGCATTGTTTATCGACTTCATCGATAACATCATTTGCCATTTTAATAACTTTGTCCTTGGCAGCACCCTTGCTACCAGCCAAATATTCCAAGGCAATATTCCAATATTCTGTACTTAAAATATTCTCATCGAACATGCTCTGTTGTATGGATATTTGTCGAAGTTTTTCAAATTTCCAATCTTCACGACAATGTTTCCACTTTTTTAGATATTCTTCATTACGTTGCCTTTCCTTTTCCATGGAATGCTCTTTCTGTGCCTCCAAAAGTTTCTGATGTTTTTGCTTTTTCTTTTGACGACCTGTGACTATGGCTAATGTATTTTCGGGTTTCTCACTTTCTTTCAATTGTTCTAAGGTGGGTTCTATTGTTCCATCATCATCATCATTATCTTCGTCATTATCATGTTGCTCTACCTCGTGTTGTTCATCATCCTCACCACTGTCAACAGTCTTGTGCGACTTTGAACGTTTCTCCTTGACGGCACCTTTTTCTTTGTTTTTGCGTTTTTTTGTTTTCTTGGAAACCCCTGTAAAAACATTACATATATAATATCCATTCATAATTTGACCATTGTTTTATTAATAGTTTCACATTTTCTTTTTATTTACATAGTATGTATGCGTTTACCTTGCTCATGGTTGACCGTGACAACTTCTGTATCATGAGGAGTGGTGTTCTCCAAAATGAAGCTTTTATTTGCTACTTCATCTTCATGTTCGACACAAGAGTTTTTCCTCTTCTTGGCCTTTTGTTTTTTAACGGGTTGGACATCTAATTAGCCATTTGTTTAATTAAATTTCTAATATGTTTATATTTGAAGAGCGTTGAGAAACAAACTAGTTCAAAGCAACAATTCTGTGAGAGGAACCACTGGGACGAGCACAGACTTTATCGTTCGTACATATATCAGTCCATTGAGTTCCTTTACGCTGTGTTCCCTCATATTGTTTATAACCTACACCACACATAGTATGATGGCTATATTAAGTTCGTCATTCCGTTTGTAATTAATCGAAATAATCATTTTGGTCATAACAAGGTACACATATTCTTGATCAGCGTAAAATTCTAAGACAATTTAGCCCTGTACGACTTTTGTAATCACGCTACAGTCAAAATGAATAAAAATAGGAAGCTAAAATTTTGCACAGATCAGTCTTTTGCCTGCAGACAGTTCAAGTTCGAAGATGGGCTATATCGGTTCACGATATCATATAGCTCCCATACAACCGGATCCCCGATTTTAAGTATTTTGATGATTTTATCCACATTTTCCAATTGAATTGTCTAAAAATCTACACAACAAGTTCTTCCTGAGTACTTTGGCCTCTGGGAGAGAATTGTTTATATAGGTTCAAGATATCGTATAGCTCCCATACAATAGTACCCCCGATATTGTTTATTTTGTAGATTTTAGCCACGTTTTTCAATGGAATTGGAGTTCCCATTGAGTACTTCACCCCATGAAGGAGAATTGTTTATATAGGTCCACGGTATTTTGATAATTTTAGTCACATTGTTCAACGGCATTGTCTGAAATTATACACAATAAGTTATCTGCGAATACTTTACCCCATGAAAGAGAATTTTTTATATAGGTCCAAGATATCTCCGATATTGGGTGTTTTGATGATTTTAGCCTCATTTTCAATGGAATAGTATAAAAATCCACACAAGTTCCTGTTTAGTTCTCGAAGAACGTTTTATTTTAAGCCAGTCTTTGAGGATGAAAACCCCCAGAATAACCGGCTGAAAAATGTTGGCAAAATTTTCACAATCTTTCCCTGACAATTTCTTGTAATGAAATAAATTACAAATTTGTGAGGATCATCTTCTGCCAGTATTATAGCATAACAAGCCGCGATATTGTCGATCTTCATACATGTTCTTGACGTCGAAAAATCATACTTAGAAACAAAATTCAACCATTATATAATCAGACCTTACATGATTTATGAGTCTAATATTTTAGTCTTCTGTTTTAGATTATATTTTTCCTTGACTTTTATACCTTCTAAAAGGCGTGAAAATGACAAAATATTTGCAGCTGTACGCTCATATTGAAGGCGGAACTATAAAATTTTAATTTAACCACACTCAAGAATACCAATATAGTTCTTCTTATAATATAATTTCTACGTTTTTAAGCGTCTATGCACAAAAAAAGGTAAATAAAATGTATCTCCCTATGATATGGAATAAATAGCTATTTTTAAGCCATTCAATAATACCGGGTGTTTCAGATATTTTTAAATTCCAATTGACCGTTAAAAGTAAACAATTGTTATAACATGGCAACTCTTAGCTTTTCATCCTTTTTCCAGTAAAATTCGCTCGTTTTGCAATTTCAACCCTGATTTGGTAACACATGTTCTTTTGCGCAAAAAACAATAACAAAAAAGCCCCCCAAATTTGGAGCATAAAGGAATTGTAAAAATAAATAGCTAACGCCGCCGTCTGTGTTCCTTAAAACAATCTTAAATAAATCGTGGAGTTAAAAGTCGTAATAAAAGCGGAATTGTGATTAAATTTAAAAGAAAAATACTTATCGAGTTTTCGTTTAGTGTCGGGTATTCGAAAAAAATTGTGATTGAATCAAATATTTGTGTGCAATTAATATAGTGTGACGTTGTAGATCCTTGGAAAGTATATGAGTGTCAATGGTGCAAGTGTTTGCTATTGAATTAATATTTAGTTAGAAGGTAAGTTTGTTTTGTCCATTAGCATCCTTTGAAAGCAGCAGCGGGCTTAGAAAAAGTTATAAAAATAAGTTTCTAATTAATTGCATTAAGTTCTAAATAAAAATTAAGCGTGCTTTATGTGTAAGTGTGTGTGTGCGTGTGTGTTATTCGGCATCTTTGCTCTGATGTGGATGACCTTATTATCCTGCTTGTTGTTGCTTCATCAACAACATCGATGTGAATTCGGTCAAGGCCACCATAATAAATCGCGTTAACATCGGTTTTCGTCATAATTTAAGCGTGAAATACATCGTCTATCACCGATAAATGTATGCAGATTGGCAGAAATAACGAATTGGATTTGAAATCATGAATTTGGTAAGTAAATATGATTTCTTGTAGTTGGAAAAATTTTAAATGTAGCATAAATATTGGACACATTTTCAGGTAAATCTATCAAATTAAAAGTTGTTTTGAAAGCATTTAAATTATAAATACCGGTTAAATGAGAAAATTATATCGAAAAACTTAAAAAAGATCCCGCTCTGTTATATTGAGTTGAGCAGAACGATAATTGGAGTAAGAAATATAAATTACTGAGCATACTTTTAGGCGAAGATGAATATTAAATAAGTAATTGTTGGTATTTTCTGGTTTTAAGCAATACAATATCTATTATTACTTTTAATTTTTATACCCTCCACCATAGTTTGTCATTCCGTTTGTAAGAACTCGAAATATACATTTTAGACCCCACAAGGTATATATATTCTTGATCAGCATAAAATTCTATGTCGATTTAGCGATGTCCGTCCGTCTGTCTTTCTGTGGAAATCACTATAGCTTCCGAACGAAATGATGAAGGTTGGTAAAACTGTATTCAAATTTATATTATGTCTGCAGGACTTTTGATATTGAAAATGGGACATGTAGGTCCACGTTTTGGTATAGCCAATATATAATGGTACCACAGTATTTTCGGTACTTTGATGATTTTAGCGACATTATTCACCCAAATTGTTTCAAATTTGGTATTTGAAGTTCGTAATGGATACTACAGCCTAAGACAGAAAATTGTCCGTGCAGGTCCACATCTTCGTATAGCCCCCATATAATAGTACCTCCATATATTCGACATTTGGAAGATTTTAGCGACATTATTCACCGAATTTTTTTCAAGTTTCGCATTTGAATATTGTAATGGCTTATGACAAATGTTGCCTATGCAGGTCCAAGTCGTCGTATAGACCCTAATAGAACGGATACATTCGGCATTGCTATGTGTCACCTATCGGGGTAAATCGGATGATAGTTCATGGTTCATAGGTTTGGGAATGAGGAGATTATTGAATAGCTTCACCCTAATATTCCACCACACCACACATGAAACGTATTCAAATACACCTTGTGAGGTGCCATAAGTTGCACACTCGAAAACCGCAACGTGCAATAGAGAATATTGATACTCGACAGAAGAACACTTTCATACATTAGCCGGCAGGTCGCGCGATATGCCTCTGTCCATTAATATTTCAGTTTGTTGTGCCTTTCCTCGTGTATTTCGTGTGCTCTGTTTGACTATTTTGTATTGTGCTCTGTTTTCTGTTTGAAATTTTACTCATAGTTTTGCTTCCTTTGGCTGGCTTTTTTGTGGGGTCCCATACCGACCGCAGTGGATGTCTGTCCGTGTGTGTATGTGTGTGCATCAAGGGGGGGTGTCTGTGATTTGCGCAAAAGTGTTACGCTGCTATTGCTGCCGGTGCTAGCCCCAAGATACCGATTGGGGTAACAGCTAGCCCGTCAGTTCAGCATTGTTGAGTTCTAAGAACGAACGTGTATATTTTCTTCCCTCGTGTTTTCGGTGTGAATTTTCCAAACGACCAAAAAGAAAGAGAACGAAACGAAAGGCAAAGATAAACGTCGCGTCGCGTTGTTTTCTTTTGTTTTTTCCATCTCCTGAAATTCAGAATTTCTTTTTCTGAAATCCATACAAAAATATATGAAATACGTAATAGCTTGAATATAAATTTGGCGGTAACAAGCAAAAAAAGTGGAAAAAATTGAAAATAAAATCGAAAACAAAACGCTCAAGCGTTTTGTGGGCTTATGTCCAAATCACTTGTGGCCATAAATGTTTCAAAAAAAGTCAATAATATTTCAAAAAAATAAAATGAAATAAAATAGTATCGAAAAAATAAATTTTATGGAGTATCGAAAAAAAAATTCTAAAAATCGTTTTCGAAGAGCGAAATAAATCAAAGTAATTTTTCGGATTCCCGCTGAAATAGTTTTCATTGTTGGCAAAATTGTGGCATAGTAGCCGGTAATTTAAAACCGTTTTGTATATTTACTACTGCTCCTAATTGGATTGACGTTGTGCTGTGCCCGTGTGTTGTTAACACATTTCACCAGTTGTCCATCCCAACGTCAACAACGTCATTTAAAAAAAAAGTGGAACTGAGCCAGAAAAGCGACATCACAACGTCAATTGTCAGCCCTGGCCGGGCTTAATGTTTGTGTGTAAAAGTGAAGCAGACTTCCATTGACTTCCTCAGAAAAAAAGTGGGGAGTCCGTTTCATTTGTTTATTGCCAACTTTGTGCGTTTTTTTTTTGCCCAATCTCCAGTTACCGCCTACCTCACTTTATCTTCAGTTCGTGGAAAATAAAATCAATATCCAATTCTTTAAACCTGGCTATATGCCATTACTTTTCGTTTCCACCTACCGCAAATCCTCAGTGTCGCGTGTACCTAGTTTTGTGTATCGACAAAGTGTTATTCGCCGTCTGACTAACGCGTTCCCGGTTTCTAAGGTGACCACAAACTATTACCTTGCGCCACGACCAGCTAACAAATACAAATCACTCGACCTACCACACCACCGACAACCATTGCCCAAAAACGCGAGGAAAGTAAATAAAACAAGAAAAATAACAAAACATAAATAAACAAAAGCCGAAAGAAGAGGCATCAACAGAAAATAGTTTTACAGGCCATTCTAATAAAAGGTTTTTTGTGTGGAGGTGGTTTTCAATTCCTGGAAAATTCGCTGGAATAAATTTCATCTGATTTTCGGCGACAATTTAACATTCTAA